TAGATATACTCAAGAATCTTTCTTCCCCATCTATTGTCGGTTCTTTAAGCTATGTGACCAGCTCATTGCCAATTCGGTTACTTTGGTACTCCTACAGATATACTCATTACGGATTCTATCACGCACAGAAACTCCGGGCATAGCCTTCTCCATAGCTCGCTGAACAACTTGAAACTTCTGCATATGGCCAACTTTATAAAACTAATACTAGTACCAAGACAATTATTAATAGTCTTCCCAAAGTAAGAAAGCTAGCAGTCTTTGAGTCACTTTAATGCTTGAGGTAAATACCTCACTAAATAGATGTTTTTGTTTTATACAACTTAGAATGGCAAACAAGCTGACGGCCCACCTGATGGAAAGTGGTAACCGTCGCCTATAGACATGAGCAGTACCATGGACATAACAGAGTATACTGTTTCGCCCATGATACCCCCCATGCATTGCCACTCCTGAGGACTCAAATGTTATTTCTCTGTACCCAGTAAATTCACGCCATATCCCACCCTTCAAACCGAAACACAGCTATACAAACACAACTGATTCACGGTTGAAACACGAATGGGCCAGAGGTACCCAAGCAATCGACTTTTGTACAAAGTCTCCTTCTGGTGATAGATTATACTAAATAGTGACTTCTTTGTTTATTTTCTTAATAATACACCTTTTTTTATAATAATGCCCCATTATGTATTTTAACAAAATCATTGAAGGTGAAAAAACAAATTATTTCTCGGGTGCCATTACGACAACAGATGAAGCATTCCCGAGTGGTTTCCTTTCACTTAATATTCAATTTAACGTCTGATATTACGGTAAAATATTCAATATCGGAAATGGAATCCCGGTCGAATTGATTCTAATGAGTGCTATTCAAAAAGTCTATGCGCCTGTTAAATATTCATTATTTACTAATCTTCACGGCGTGTGCTGACGCTGTTATAAGTTTTAAGTTTTTCGACAAGTTTAATGAATATTTGTACATCATAATCACCGTCTACTTATGTTTAAATCAGAGGGCCTACCATGAAATATTTTTCGAAATTTCGGAGCCGAACGAAACACAAATTTGATGTTAAAATTACATAATACATGCCGTTTGGAAATATTAAAAATGTTAAAATATTATTCTTTTGGACTTTTATGATATGTATGACGAACGAAATGTTAAACTCCATTTATTGATCCGATTTTGGTATAAACAAAAACACGAAATTGAGTCCGAAATTTCGGAATTTCATTCATGGTAGACCCGCAGTTTTTCCGCGACTTCGTCCGCATGATCTGAAATTATTGTCAGAAATAAAAAATAGATAATTTTTTCATAGTTCATACTACAAGTATTAATAAGAATGTATTCTTACATGTGCCTTCATTAACTCGTTACAGTAATTTATTTCAAGTACTTAACGCATATGCATAAACTTTCTTCCAAATATATATTAATTAAATATAATTTTTCTATCCCGTTTACAGATTTTATCAGTAATATTATTGGATTATCTGTCAACCCAGTTAAAGTTGTTAATACTCCTGCAAAAAATTAATAATGGTTACAATATTTTAATAAAAATTTACGTGATCAGAGTGAAAACATGAAGTTATATACACATTTTTTTCCGCTATTATGAAATCTATCAAAGATAATTTGTTTTTCTGAGATAAACCATATTATTATTATGTAACAGAAAATAATCCTTTTTTATATAAAAACAACCCTGAAACTGTAACAAACATTCAGTATTTGAGTAATTTCACTTTTTGACAATACGAAGTAATACAAAGCCTAGTTTTCTGTTCCATGAATCATGGGCTATGAGCACGATATTGGCAAACCAAATAAAATATAAAAATTTGCTCCCGGCTTCTATTTTAAATGGGGTAGTCACAAGCATTTACCCACTTTTGCCGATGTGATATGCCGACATTTGTCTGAATATATTAAATTCAGTGTGTGTTTATATGTGAGTCTACCAACGTCCGCTCAGTTTAGTTTGGTTTATTATCTATCAAAGAATCAAAGCAAATTTATCAAAATCTGTATTTTCCATCATCGAAAATTGGGACAGAAATTTAAAATTTTTTTCCTGCAAACTCAGAACTTTAGCAGTCTATGTCGGAGTTATATTGCACTGGATCTCAGCGCTCTTTAAAAAAAAAGTAGTTACCAAAATTAATCCAAGCAAGAATCGAACCGAAACCTTATTTGCAAAACGCCTACCATTGCGACACGAATGTCATCAAAAAGTTAAAAACAAAAATAATTCTTTCAATCATGATTCTGATAGTGTGAAAACATTTCATAGTTTCAAGAGAAGGTAGGTGCATATACAGAAAGGCCTTATAAGTAGCTTACAGTGACATGGCTTTATGTGACTCCTAGAAGTGAACTTTTTCTATAGTCCAAACATGAGTTTTTAAAAATTCAAAGGCTTAGGCTGGAATTTGATTTTGTGATCCCTGGAACGTAGTCAAACATTCCATGGACAAAGCTATCATTGCTTGGAATAGGTGACCGTATATAACTTCCTACTATTAATGTTTTGAAAAAGATTTTTAATTATCGTTCCCTTTATTTATTCTCTTCTTTTTTAAATATAGAATATCTTTTTTTTATACAACTTAGAATGGCAAACAAGCTGACGGCCCACCTGATGGAAAGGGGTAACCGTCGCCTATAGACATGAGCAAGTACCATGGACATAACAGAGTATACTGTTTCGCCCATGATACCAATATTTTAAAAAGGAAGGATAAATTTTTGTGTGCTTGTTTGTAATGGATAAACTCAAAAACTACTCAACTGATTTTGAATATTTTTTCACCCATAGAAAGATATATTATCATTGAGTAACATAATAGGGGTGAGGACCTGCTGATTTGTAATACAGGTTTACTTCAGACACCAGTTCTTCAGTCCAAATAAATCTTTTGTAATAACTTACATTGGATATATGTACTTGCGAAACTGGAAGTCAAGAATTTAAAACTATTACTAAAACTTTGGTACTGTGAATCGATCACTATTGACTGGTCACTATTGGCTGTGTACTCTTATTTGGCATTCAGAGCTCTGTACTACAATAAACTATAAATAGTATACTAATTTATATCGATTATATAACCTTATCTTTTTATGAATATAATAAAAAGTTTATACTATAATCTTGTTATTATATTCATATCAAATTATATAATAGTAAGAGGTGGAGTGAGGACCTGCTGATTTGTAATACAGGTTTATCCTACTTCAGACACCAGCAGGGCTACCATGAAATGAAATTCCGAAATTTCGGACTTAATTTCGTGTTTTTGTTTATACCAAAATCGGATCAATAAATAGAATTTAACATTTCGTTTATCATACATCCTATCATAAAAGTCCAAAGGAACGATATTTTAACATTTTTAATATTTCCAAACGGTATGTATTATGTAATTTTAACATCAAATTAGTGTTTTGTTTGGCTCCGAAATTTCGCAAAACACTTCATGGTAGGCCCTCAGTTCTTCAGTCCAAATAAATCTTTTGTAATAACTACTAGTGTTATTGTGAAAAAAATAATCTTTAATTTTATTATTATTAAGTTACTGTAAGTATTAGAAGACTTCTTCCAACTGGTTGACCGATTTGCCAAGTATGGTAAGCTTGTCAAATTGTAATTTTAAATATAAGTTCCTTTATGACGTAAAAAGAACTTTCCAAAGTTTCAATAGAAACGAGAGGTAACAAATACTTATTGAGATTTATTTTCAGCAACGTCTTACATTATCTACTCTGGATTTCAATTATATACGCCTATACTGTAAAATTAAAAACTTGTAGTTTCATTATCGTCCAGAGCGAAATTAGATATAAACTACAAAAAATTAAACGTTTCAAAAATATCAGTAGAAGGAATTATAAATAATTCTAGTATTACAATAATTAACTTTCAATATATAATATTATACAATATAGATATATTTTTATACAACTTAGAATGGCGAACAAGCTAACGATAGCCTTATCTACAGTATTTCGTAGCACTCATTGGTAAAAATGCTGCAAATAGAGGATCTATTTGACAAATTACACAATTTTAGTTTTAGTATTCTAATTTTTAATTAAATTTAAAATACTACTTTTATTAATCATTCATATAAAATAATAAACATACATACAGATTCATAAAGAAGAATAAACATACATATAAATTTATACAGAAGAATAAGTCTAACGAGAATAGTTATTTATTAATATCATCACCATCCTTCAAATACGGTCTTGAGCACGTGCACCGATTAAGAGTCTGACCAAAATACTCTAACAAAATTCTCATAAACATAAATTAACTTCAACTTCACATTTTACAGATCACTGTTCTTCTATGTAATGATACACATATTTTACTTACCCAAAAGTTTACAAACTGTTAAAGACTATTTACGGTGGTAGGTTTTTAATAACTTTCAATAATATTTAATCTATATAAATAAAAATCAACAGTATGTAAGTGCATTATTTGAAAACAACTGCACCTATTTGTCAATTTCTTTTTTGTCGTGTTTTTAATTGTCAGACAAGACTTATACGAAAGAACGTATTTATAACATATTTTTTAAAAATATATTTTTTTGCAAACTGCATTTTAGATAACATACATATGAGTACTATTCGAGACTATAATAAATTATTTAATATTTACATAAAAACTAATGATAATGAAAGGCTTCCTGAATAATTTCGTCTTCAAAGAGGTGTACAACGAATGAGTTAAAGAAAAAAATCTCACTCAGCGAAACCTAATTAGAATTTAGTAGTTTTTCCTTTAAATATTCATTTTTCCTTCTCCGCCGCTCACAGTTTCAGGGTTTAACGATAATTTCGTACACAAAATATGCGAGACATTTATTTTCAACCCAAAATTAATTGTACCAAATTTGTTTTACGAAACAAGGAATTCTTCCTTAAATATTACTTCGTTGTTTTCTACTTTAAAACTTTACAAACAACTTACCAACTTAATGAAACTTCACAATAACTTCCAAACATACGTTAACATAGAGTCAAGTCACTTCACTGTTGTTTACAAAAGATCGTCTTCAAAAGTTGGTAATAGCAAAGAAATTATGTTATAATGCACTAATATATTTCGTGTCAATTTCGCGCGAAAACTCAACGCAAGTAACATTGCAGCGAACAACGCGTAGGTCGCGCGAATCGGACGGCGTGCGGCTGAGAGAGTCGCTCGCGACTGAGTCGAGAGCAGCCGGCCGCCCGCGCTCTTCCATCTATTTTATATAAACGCCTTTATATACCGATTTATATATTTACCCGCACTCATACATATTTAACTTTTTTCCCATTTCACGTCGTTTATTCCTCGTATGTAAGGCGCGCGGGCAGCGTTGCCGCGTGCGGCGTGTGTGTGCTCCCACCATTCGAACGCTCCGCGTTTCTATTTACGTGTTTTTAGAAAGGGTAAAGCTTTTATACCTTTCCTTTCTACTATTTCGTTCTGTAGTTGAGCGCAATGCTCTGAATGTCGGCCCGCGAAATATTTCGCTTCGATTTATGAGTTTCATTTTTGTGAGTTATATTTTCGGTTGGAATGTTTTATCAATTTGTAGCGATTGCTATGGCACCTGAATGGCCGTCGGGGAACGCTTTAGATATATTTCTATTAAGTATACCAACGTTTTTCCTGAATACTTGTTATTCGGAAATAATCTTTCCATTAAATTGAATGAAACCATTCCTTTTTAGGATTTTGTAAACATATAAATAAGTTGTTTACTCACCATTTTTTTATTATTTCAACCGTTAACTGTCCTGTGCTGAACATGAAGCCTTTTCCATAAGAAGTGTTTTGCTAGTAATTGCCACGCTTAGTAGGCGGGTTGGCAGCCGCAGTTAAGGTTTTACAGATGTTGCAATAAGGACGCTGCTACCCATCCCTAATTACTCACCATTACAGGTGCATAATCAAACAGAAATTATAAAGTAAAACAGAAATATTCATAAGTAACTATATGTACCGAAAAGTATACAACTATAAAGCTGCCTACTCTACTATGAATTATATATTATAACATTTTTTTCTTCTACGTATATCAAAATATCAGCATGTTCGTGTGGTTCCGACATAGAATAAGCCACCCCTTCCTTTCCCGTGAGTGTCGTAAGAGGCGACTAAGGGTGGCAAGAAATGGGCAGCAGCGTCCCTCTTAAAACATCTCTAACTGCGGTTGCCAATCCACCTACCAAGCGTGGCAACTATTAGCAAAACCCCCCAAGGGGGAAGCTTAAGTTCAGCAGTGGACTGTTAAAGGGTGATATGATAATGAGGATATCAAATATATATATATATATATATATATATATATATATATATATATATATATATATATATATATATATACAAGTATATAACATTTCCAACATGTATGTGTTAATACATAACTCATACTAACGTTATATTACTTTGTACCTTTGAATAAAATTGATTACCTGTAGCAATTTATTTTCAAAGGAACGCCAGACTTACAGACTAATACAACTGAAGCTAAAAATTCTTTACGTCTATATTTATGTGGGTGTGAACCAATGTAACAGAGCTAATGAACTACTTTGTATTTTTTTTATACAATTAAAGTGGCAAACAAGCATACGGCCCACTTGATGGTATGCAGTTACTGTAGTCTATGAACGCCTGCAACACCAGTGGCATTACGCGCACGTTGCCGATTCTAAAGAAACGTTTTCGCTCCTTTTTGAACCCAATGCCGTCTTGGGAAACCTTGACAGGGAGCTCATTCCATAACCTGAGGATTCGTATGAAAAAACATGATATAAACAGCAAATTGCACTATTAAAACGTGTATGTATTTCTAACATAATATATTCTCAATTTAATGAAAAAAAAAATTATAAAAAACTATCACAGAATAAATTGTAAAAACAATACAAGTTCTAAAAACCTTAGTGTCAACAGCCAGTATTAAAACTTCAGCAAAACATCTGTGAACCCTCGCGGTACGCAAAAATAGATGCTTGAAACCCACCTGTCAGCACGTGGTCACCGTCTTCAAAGAACAAGATAAAATCAAAATCATTGGTATTCTTTTAAAATAATCTACCAGAAGGAAACTTTGTACAACAGTCGATTGCTTGGGTACCTCTGTCCCATTCGTGTTTCAACCGTGAAGTAGTTTGTTTGCATAGCTGTGTTTCGGTTTGAAGGGTGGGACATGGCGTGAATTTACAGGGTACAGAGGAATAACATATGAGTCCTCAGAAATGGCAACGCATGGGGAGTATCATGGGCGAAACAGTATACTCTGTTATGTCCATGGTACTGCTCATGTTTATAGGCGACGGTTACCACTTTCCATCAGGTGGGCCGTCAACTTGTTTGCCATTCTAAGTTGTATAAAAAAAAAGTAAATCTTTTTCTAATTTTATTTTTATTTAAGAAATTTTAACCCATGTTTCTCTGGGTAAAAGTGTTTACCCAAAGAACTGCCATAAAAGAACGCTAATGGTTTTCATTTAAGCCAAAGGTAAATCTGGTATTATTAATTATTGAAAATGTATACGAGTAATGAATGTATATTATCGAATAATTAACCATGAGATCCAATTCAATTATTATTGTAGTTGTTATCGCTTGTAGCTGCACAGTATTAAACCACGGCATGTCAGTATTTTAGTTATTTCCGGAGCGTGCGGTTGCAATTTCCTACCAAAAGCTATTACACCTATTTCGTAGTTAGGTGGACTGTTTTGTTTCAATAAAAGTGTTCTACTATAGCCAAGCGTATAATTTACAACTTAAAAATACTTCAAACACGAATAGAACTTACATCGAAATTGATGCAATCTCGCGAGATTACTGAAAATATATTAAAATTAAACAAAATCTTTTATTTCATTATTAAAAAAATTGTCTGTTTGTTATACTAGACGTTATATATATATATATATATATATATATATATATATATATATATATATATATATATATATATATATATATATATATATATATATATATATATATATATATATATATATATATATATACATACACTTTCTAACTATCCTGCAAATCATTACTTACGTACATTAAATAAAATATGTTTACGATTTAAGTTTAGTGGTCACATGGAAGTGCTAACACCGTTGATATTGCAAATTTACGACTTTTGGCACTACGTTGAGGGGAAATTCGAGTGGCCCCCTCCCATAGGGAGGGCACTGTCCGAAACATCGATCACTCTTTATTACTCTCATCGAACGTAAAAGCACTCAAATGTTTCCTACATTCGATTCTTAATATATATTAATATTTAAAAAAAATTGTGTTACTAGTAATTGAATTTGTTTACTTAATGGATTTTAAATGCTAACTTTAGTTTGATATTGATTAAAAAATTGGCTATTATTACTGTAAAAACTAAGTTACTGGGTATATATTATTTAATACTGGATTTTTACCGCAACTTTTCCTGCGTGAATCAGTATATAAAGTATCCTATATATTAAGTTAGGATACAACCTACCCGTGTGCCAAATTTCGTTCAAATCCATTAAGTAAATTTTTTAATACCACTAATGTGGTAAACAAGTATACGGCTTACCTAATGGTAAGCAGTTACCGTAGCTTATAAATGCCTGCAATACCAGGGATATTACGTATGCATTGCCAACCCTGAAGAAACCTGTTTATCCCCCTTTTGAAGAACCCCATGCTATAGTCTCTTAGAAAAACCTCGGCAGGGAGCTTATTCCATAACCTGATTCCATATTTCTTGCATAAAATAGCAATAAACATTCGTACATCCGTCCTTACAAACATTGGCATTTACAATATTAACAAGTTTCTCAATAGCTTATAAACTATAAAAAATTAAATAAACGCATAGAAAAATAGTTACCTACTTATTTTATCGGTAAATGATAATATGTATATAGTTAAACTTTATCCGTGTGACCGGAATATATTAATTCAAGGACCTAGAACATGGCCTATTTCCTTTACTATGCAAAATCCTAAGTGTTCACCAAATTTCATCAGGACTGCACCAAAAGATAAAAAACAAATAAACGAACAAACTCGCATTTATGTTTTTTATATTAAATAAAGTTAAAAGATTAAGATACACAAACTCTGTTAGTCTAATCCATACCAATATTGTAAATATGAAAGTGAGTTTGTATGATAGCTCTTAACGCTTTAACGGCTAAACCAATCACTATAAAATTTTATATACACGTACTATGTGGGATGGAGAAGATTACTTTTATCCCGATCAGTGAACATATCCCAGCCACGCAGACGAAATCGTGGGTAAAAGCTAGTAAAGAAATAATTTGATGTAACTTAATATCCGATAATCAATTCAAAACAGTTGGTCATTCATGTTAATTTAGTTTAAGAACTAACTGTTCCCCGCGACTACGTCCGCGTTTCTGTCGTTTTTCGTACAATAAGTAGCCTATGTCCTTCCAGACGGTTCAGTGGTTTTGATGTAGCAGACACATTTCCCTTCACTGCTCTGCTCCTATTGATCGTAGCGTGATAAAAAGTATACTATAACCTGCCCAGGAGTATGAAGAATAATTGTACTATGTTTCGATAAAATCCGTAGAGTAGTTTTTGTTTCCATAACAATATCATCGTATCAACTTTTATAGCCACTGCTAAACATAGAATATATAGGAGGGTGTTGCCTGTAGTTGCCACGCTTAGCAAGCGGGTTCTCTTCGGTAACATTAAAAGAGACGCTGCTGCCCATCCCTCGACCCTTATATTCCTTAAGTTCTTCTTACAATACCCACGAGAAAGAAAGGTGGCCCATTCTACGTCGAAACCACACAGCAGTTTCTATTCAATATAGTAAATTAAAAACATAAACTCTTGTTTAACACAAAATAACCGTTTATTTTTTTAAGAATTAAATATTATAGTGGGACTATAAATAAATTAAGTTACATTTAAAATGCAGTTTGGAGGCTTTGTGGTTTTGGCAACCTCAACAACATTCTACTAAATGCGATACGAATGTACGCAACAAAAATATACTTACTGTATATTTTTAAACCTTTTCATGAGTTTTCTTTTTTTTCTATACGTGATATTTACTTTATTTTGTCTTATTATAATTGTAGATAGCTTGTTATATATGTTTTCACTCATTTGCAAACAGAAAAAGTAAAATTTCAGTTATTGATTAATTTGAATGTTAATTTATTTAAATATATTAAATTAATTT